TGTCGCAGGCCACACAGGCCGTTCCATTGGAGAACTGGCCGTCGGCGCAGTCGGACACACAGGCGCCGCCCTGCAGGTACTGGCCGGAGGGGCAGGAAGTGCAGTTGCCGGCGCTGCCGCTGCAGGTCTTGCAGGCGCTGCTGCAGGGCAGGCAGTTGGCCCCGCTCACGAAGTGGGTGCTGGCGCAGGCCGACACACAGGCGCTGCCCTGCAGGTACCGGTCAGTCGGGCAGGCGGTGCAGGCAGTGGCGCTGCCGGCGCAGGTCTTGCAGGCGCTGCTGCAGAGCAGGCAGCTGGTGCCACTTGCGAAGTGGGTACTTGAACAGGCCGACACACACTGGCCGGCCTCCAGCAGCTGACCGGATGGGCAGGAGGTGCAATTGCCGGCACTGGTGGCGCACGTGGCACAGTTGCTGCTGCAGGGCAGGCAGCTGGTCCCGCTCTGGAAGTGAGTGCTCGCACAGGAGGCCACGCAGGCGCCGCCCTGCAGGTACTGACCGGACGGGCAGGCGGTGCAGTTGCCGGCGCTGCCGCTGCAAGTGGCGCAGCTGGCATTGCAGGGCAGGCAGTTGCTGCCATTGGCATAGAAGCCGGCCGAGCAGGCGGCCACGCAGGCGCCGCCCTGCAGGTACTCGCCGGATGGGCAGCCGGTGCAGTTGCCGGCGCTGCCGCTGCAGGTCTTGCAGTTGGCATCGCAGGGTAGGCAGCTGCTGCCGCTCTGGAAGTGGGTGCTCGCACAGGCGGTCACGCAGGCGCTGCCCTGCAGGTACTGCCCGGCCGGGCAGGAAGTGCAGGCGGTGGCACTGCCGGCGCAGGTCTTGCAGGCGCTGCTACAGGCCAGGCAGTTGCTGCCATTCAGGAAGTAGCCGGCCGAGCAGGCGGCCACGCAGGAGCCGCCCTGCAGGTACCGGCTGGAGGGGCAGCCGGTGCAGGTGGTGGCGCTGCCGGTGCATGTGGCGCAGCTGGCATTGCAGGCCAGGCAACTGGTGCCACTCGCATAGAAGCCGGCCGAGCAGCCACTCACACATCGGCCAGC